TTCAGTTGGTGATTCCCCCACCCTAATTTTTGTGTACTTAAAACATCCTAGACATATGTATTTAAATGAAGTGAGGTGTTTAAATGAAGTAAGGCTACTGAAATAATTATCTAAATGATCCAGGGTTTAATTTTCCTGGAATATCAAAATAGAATTATTCAGAATTAGCTCAAATCTGCAAATTAGGCAATGGCAAGAATTCTGTTAAGGTATGCTTACAACTACATATGTAATCTTAAAGTTATGTTCTTTCTCAAGTACATTAATACCTATCATACATTTACTGGGCAACACTTTAGGAAAAAATGTAGTTCCCACTATAAATATGAAAATGATGGATATATTTAAAAAAATAATCACAATTAGCGGGATGTTCTGGTTAAAGGAATAGAACAAGGCTTAAATGATACAAACAGTGACCTCAACCATCTACTTTTGTAAGGAACCTGGTTTTAAATATATTTTTAAGCAATTGTTGAAATTTTTGAAGTTTCCCAACTATTTTGCTTCAAGTATTCTTATACCAAGAGTCACAACAGGAAGAAAAAGGTACAGATGCCATCAAATTAGATTACCAGAAAAATTTTCTCTATTTTACTTTATTTAATGTGACACATAAAGAAAACCTCGCACAAATATCTGTCTTTAATTTCTCTAGTGTAAAAAAGGAAATATATTGGGTCTGGCAGAATGAAACAGATGAAATAGGCTGGATGAATTTTTCAAAAAAAGGAGGAGGGGAGAGAAATCAGATGCATACAATGAGCCTTCAAAGCCACTCCAGCAGTAGGGATAAATAATTTAATAAACTCAACTTCATATTTTTTTTATCTCCCCAGTGTAATAAGCACATATTAAAAAAAATAAAACTTTAAGTTCATGAATACTCGTGAATAGAATAGCAACCAGCCAGATTTTTTAAAAAATCCACAAAACAATATCTGTGTGAGCACTTAACATATGTTTGAATATTATCTAGACAAATGGTCACAATTTCTTAAATTTATGAACTTGTAATTCAAATTTAAATTAGATTTAAAAAAACAGAACTTTTCAATCCTAAATTTGTCAACATAAGAGACTTTCTTTAAACCTAATAAGGTCACTATCTGCCCATTACTTTGGTAACCCACAGGAGCTAAGTAGGTTTACAGAGGGACTATCTAAGAATTCACAGTTCAGGAAAGATTTCTTTGCTACCATTATTTTAAGTCCGTCAATATATTAAAGACTATGTATCTTAATTACATTCATTAGTAGTACTGAAATTATAGTGACCACGTGCTTCAGACTTTTTTTTTCTTTTTCTTTTTCTTTTAAATGTCCATTTTATAGCAAGGCTACCTAGCAAACTAAGAAAGGAAACTGAAAAAAAAAAAAGAACAAAAACCCTTTAGAGCTGAAAGTCTCAAATACCATTCAAACGGCGAGCATCTCAAAATATCATTAAACCAAGAGATTCCTGGGCCTTTTTCCTTCAATTAGGTCAGTTTTCTTCAATTATCTTTCTATTATTAGCTCACGTCAAAGATGCCTGCACAACACAACACTGAAAACAATTAGGCACTTATGAAGCATGGAACCCCCACAAGCTTCTAGTAGGAACTACTATACGATTCTATTTATAGTTTTTAAAAATAATATGAAACTGGGGTCATTCGAGTCGTTTCTTAAACTTTCCACGTCGGTAAACTGCTTTTCCACTCTCTCCAGGTATTTACAACCATCGGAAAGAAACAGTTCAATGGGCCCCAGCATAATTTCCAAAAACTGAACTAGAACATAGTTGTGATTCCTTTGAAAAAGTCTATTTCCCAAACTTAGGTCGAGGTCGGCGGAGCTACAGCCCCGCCTCCCAACTGTGCCAGAGTCTAAATTTCTCTCTCTAGGTCATTTCAATTAAAGACGGAAAGCAAACTCCCCGGAATAGTTTAATTTCCCCTTCAACAATGAGCGGCCGACGTCACTGAAAGGATGCAGCTCCAGAGGCAATTCATTTCACGTGCTCAGTGTAATAGAAAATCGCCGTGTTGCTGCGACAAGCAGCACTGGCGCCCGAGTATTATTCCCGGGCGCCCGGTTCACCCGGGAGGGAAGAGCGGGCTGGTGCGTCCTCTGTTATGGAAATCACTGTCGACTCCCAGGGTGAGGGTACCGAGGGAGGCAGCCCCGGAAAGGGGGAAAGAAGTCTGGGCTTCCGAGAGGCCCAATGATTTCCCTTCCCTGCAACACTCCGGGGTTAACGAGTATTTTTTTTTTTTTTGTCCTTTTCGCACCATCCATTTTTCTTCTTTAAAGTGCAAATCGTTAGTGAAGAGGCCCCAGTTACACCAATTAGTCTGCGCCGAGTGCTCCGGTGTTTAGCTCCGCTTTAACCCAATTAAGCCGCACAGCCAGCCCCGAAGATGCGCCACCTGCGCGCCTGGCTCGGGCGAGGCCGTCCCGCGTCCCCTCGCGCCCTCCCGGCGAGACCGCCCGCCCGCCCGGCCGCGCTGCCCGCCGTCCGCCACCCCAGACGGCTGGGGACCCGGTGGCGGGGAGCCCCTCGGTGGCAACTGCGGGGAGAGCGCGCTGGGCCGCACCCGCTCGCCGTCCTAGGGGGAGAGGGAGAGAGAGAGGCGGCTCAGTGCAGCCCACGTGGGGCGGGGCGGCGCGCAGGTCCAGGGGCGCGGGGACAGAAATCGGGGCCTGGCGCAAATCTGGAAAAATCGGGGACGCGGAGGAAGGTCCGAAGGAAGCTCGGACGCAGGGCAAAGCCGGCGGGAGCAGGGGGAGCGGGCGGAGAAGGCAGAGCACGGCCCGGGAGAGCGCGGGGCAGGGGCAAGGAGGCCCGTGGGGACCCGCACCGGGTGAGGTCCGACCTGGCATGCCCTGGACTGCACATCGCCTTCGCAGCTACGGCTCTCTAGGCTCTGACTCGCCTTCTCTCCCTCTTCTGGGCACGGCCTGCGGAAAGGAAGCGGAGCAAGCACCAGCGACGCCCGCAAGGTGGGGAGGGATCTGCGGGGCAGTCCCCCAAACCGCTCCTAAGGTAATGCAGGAGATTGCTGCCAAGAGCCCCAAATCTAAAGCTCTCTTTGAGGCGAAATCGGAATGGATTGCTCTTGGGTAAGGAGGAAGCAGATAATAGGGGGCTTGGTGTTGTGCTATCGGACCTCTAACAAAATAAATAAAAATAATAAAAGCAAAAGCTTGCCTGTGGCTCTGAAACAAAGTGGTCGCAACCCGCGTGCCGGAAATTTTGGTAAATTCTTTAATTCGAAAGAGATGGTAACTGAATGAAAGGTAGGCAAATTAAAAATCGACCTAGGTCTAAAACCACGGCCGAATCCCTAAGTTATCTGTTCTTTCCTTTGCTGAATATATCTGGTCAAAAAGGGGTGGGGGAGTGTTTATATAAATGAATTAACACCCTCCCCCAATCTGATGAGAAGGTTTCAACAAATGTTGATTCTTTCAAAATTTTGTCAAAATGATATTTAAACCGTAAAATCCTGCGGTAGGGGTACAAATTGTTATTCTTCTTTTTAAAAATCATGTTTCTACTTAATCAAATGAAACCCTAGAAGAGCAAAGGTCAGGTCGCCAGTGAAGATACTATCTGTACATCTGTAAACAAGCTCAACCGCCCACACGTGTATATTTCCACATAGCTGTGTGGCAGTGGGTCTCATCTCAGAGACCCTTCTGGAAGCCCATGTATTACGGTGCAGCTCATCAGAAACTCACATTTCAAATCAGGTCTTGATCACAAAGACCATTTACTTCTCAAACATTTCTGAGAGTGCTTTAAAAACAGCTCTACACTTGAAACACTGGGCGAGGCTATTGAAGAGTAAGAGAACACTGGACAGGGGAAAGGTGTTCTAAACATGTCTTGGCACCCCCCTTTCAACTGGACAGATCGCACTGAACACGCAGCAACCTTTTTCGGATTCCTTTCCAGCGCTGCCAGTGAGGAAAAAGCGGAAGCAAAACACCGCCCAATGGGTGACTTTGTAAAAAAATCATTCTAACCAACAGGAACATCCAGAAAAGCATGCAGGTACTTCCCCCCTCCTATCTAAGGACACCTTGCATATACTTGACAGGGCAAACCTGAAACCTACGTTTAAGAAGACCTCTAGGACTAACAGGCATTAATTATCCTATGGTAAATGCAAGTTAGTGACTTTTGTTCTAGAAAGCCTCCTCTAGTTCCCTCCTTGATGGATGTGCATTAATACACCTGTATTGCATTTCCACGGTAAAAAGACAAACAGGGTTTTCAGCCCAAGAAGAGAATCGCTTTGGCAAGTCTTTTCAAACTGTCAATATGCTTCAAGTTAGACCAAAGCCGCGAGATTCCTCTCGATTCCCAACACTGTCTAGGTGGCCTGGGTGGTTTTGCGCCGGCAAGCAGCCTCCCACCTTGGGTCTGTGTGCCTGTGTCCACGAGGGGGGATTAATTAGCTGGGTCGGAGCTGGAGGAGGCTGCCGTGACGAGCCCAGTGGCGATTGGCCGCCAGCCTGCCTGGCCCTGCCTTTATAATTTCCACACGAGCGCATCTGGGCTCTCAGGCAAACCAGCTTCTTCTGACATACACACAGGCACACCCGACCCGACAGGGGCTGCACACTCTTCCTCCGCCGGACGAACAGTCCTGCACACACAATGGTCACGGGGACACACAAATAAACACGGAAAGGGGCGCCTATTCTGACTGCCGGAGGAGCTCCGCGGGTCTCGGCGCAACTTCTGTTTCCTCGGCCGGGAAGGTGATCTCCCGGGAGCGCTCTCGCGGCGCGCACGCACGCAGGCCCGCGAGGACTCGTTCTCCGAGGCAAGGAGAGGGAGCCGGGGGCGGGGAGCAGCGTCTCTCCCCTAAGAGGCCGGCCGGCTCCGCGACCCGGGCCCGGGCCGGCTGCCGCTGAGCCCGCCGCGCGCGGCGCCCCTCGGCCCAGGCGGCTCTGCCTCTCGGCTGCAGCCGGTGCGCGCCGGCCGGCCGGCCGCGGGCCCGATTCTCCGCCGAAGTTGGCGCCAGCGCCCGCAGCCGCATTGGATCCCAGCGCCTACTGCGAGACTCCGGTGTACAACCCGGATCTCTGCCCCAACATGATCGCGGCGCAGGCCAAGCTGGTCTACCACCTCAACAAGTACTACAACGAGAAGTGCCAGGCGCGCAAGGCGGCCATCGCCAAGACCATCCGCGAGGTCTGCAAGGTCGTCTCCGACGTGCTCAAGGAGGTGGAGGTGCAGGAGCCGCGCTTCATCAGCTCGCTCAACGAGATGGACAACCGCTACGAGGGCCTCGAGGTCGTCTCGCCCACCGAGTTCGAGGTGGTGCTCTACCTCAACCAGATGGGCGTCTTCAACTTCGTGGACGACGGCTCGCTGCCCGGCTGCGCCGTGCTCAAGCTGAGCGACGGGCGCAAGCGGAGCATGTCCCTCTGGGTGGAGTTCATCACCGCCTCGGGCTACCTCTCGGCGCGCAAGATCCGCTCCCGCTTCCAGACGCTGGTGGCGCAGGCCGTGGACAAGTGCAGCTACCGGGACGTGGTGAAGATGGTGGCCGACACCAGCGAAGTGAAACTGCGGATCCGAGACCGGTACGTGGTGCAGATCACGCCGGCGTTCAAGTGCACGGGCATCTGGCCCCGGAGCGCCGCGCACTGGCCGCTGCCCCACATCCCCTGGCCGGGCCCCAACCGGGTGGCCGAGGTCAAGGCGGAGGGCTTCAACCTCCTGTCCAAGGAGTGCCACTCCCTGGCCGGCAAGCAGAGCTCGGCCGAGAGCGACGCCTGGGTGCTGCAGTTCGCGGAGGCGGAGAACAGGCTGCAGATGGGGGGCTGCCGGAAGAAATGCCTTTCCATCCTCAAAACCCTGCGGGACCGCCACCTAGAGCTGCCCGGCCAGCCCCTGAACAACTACCACATGAAGACGCTGGTCTCCTACGAGTGCGAGAAGCATCCCCGGGAGTCGGACTGGGACGAGTCCTGCCTGGGGGACCGGCTGAACGGGATTTTGCTGCAGCTCATCTCCTGCCTGCAGTGCCGGAGGTGCCCCCACTACTTCCTACCCAACCTAGATCTGTTCCAGGGCAAACCTCACTCGGCCCTGGAGAACGCTGCCAAGCAAACGTGGCGCCTGGCGCGGGAGATCCTGACCAACCCAAAAAGTTTGGAGAAACTTTAGACGGGGCGATTTCGTCAAGGGCCGGAATGTGATCCGGCTCCCCCGGGTCCTGATTCAATCCCACGCATCCCCGCTTCCCCGCTTCCCCTCTCCTAAGATTCCACTCGGCAGTGCAAACAATCTCTTCCTTGAAAAGGAAGAAGAATGCAAAGTTCAGGCACCATCTCTCCCACCCTCCAAGGGGGTAAAAGAAGCAGGGGCAGTGGATGGAGAAAAACCCGAGCCCACAAGTATCAGAAGAGTTCTTTACAAAGGATTTCATATCTCCCCTGAAAAACACACAATGACACCTAGACAACACCCCGGCTCTAATGGAGACCCCAGTGAACGCTCTGCCTAACTATCAAAGGATTAGAGCAATCCTTGTGATTTAGGTGCATCTGTCTGTGAGTAAACACGATTTGGAAATGCCATCAGAGGAGGAAAACTGTAATGTATATTTTGATTTGTAACAAATATCGTGATCTCACATTGTCTTTGCAAGTGTGGATGTTGGTGTTTTGTGATTTGGTGAACAGAATTCAATTCAGTTGCCATTTGGGATACTTCCAGACATTTTCCACTAACAAAGATACCATTGAAAGGTAGATTTCCTCCTGGTACTTTTATCTGTCTTTGAAATTGTCTGAACTTTTAAAAAGTTTACATTTTGTTTGAAATATATTGCTTGTTCTATTTCTAACATTCCGTAAATATACTTGAAATGTTATTTAAATATATCAAAGAAATTTGAATTCAGCTTATATAATAACGCTTGAAGAGCTGAATTATATATTTGAAAAAATGCACTTGAAATACACTGGAAAATTACTTTTGTGATTTAGATTTTAATTTCTGTTGCTGGTTTTTATTTAATTAGAAGCTAATAAATGAGTAAAATAAAAGTTGTTTGTGTCTCACTTTAAATTGTTTCTCTAGAAAACGATGTCATATTTTGTTTTGGAAACCAAGCCCACTTGAATATTTCATTCATCATGAGAAATAACCTTACGAAATTATTAAAATGAAACTTTAAATTACGAAAAGTAATTTTTGTATAGTTACAGAAGATAATGATCGCTCTCAGTTTCTGACATACAAGACTAACTCCGTTCCACAACAGACACAAAAACCTTCAAAGCTTGCCCCTCCGGGTTAGAACTCTGTAGCGTTGTTGATAATATAAGGGAAAATCTACCATGACAGTAAAGAATGCCAAGTTAGAAACCAGAAGAACAGACTGGATGAGGGCATAGGGAAATTACCAAAAACTGCAAGTGAAAATTAACTGTGCTACTAATGAAATAAATAATTACAATTTCTTACTGATTTTTGGCCAGATCTTATTTTTTATGCAGTGAGGTACCCGTTTACTAAATCAGGAATTCAAAATTCTTTCTAATTTTATAGGGCAAACTAATAAAAGACAAACTTAAATTATCAAAACCCAAATATACTACATTTGGAAACTTATCTTTAAAAATTCAGAGCTAGAAGTGAAGGAAATTTCATGTCTAGCATTTGGAGTATTTTAATAGTCAACAAGTGCTGAAGGAGCTGATCACGTGTGGGGATTAAGGAAGCTCACTGAGATGTGGGTCACTTTTAAAATTATAGCTGCTATCCCTACAGTGTATTTCATAATGCTTTATCTCTCTATATAAATTAAATAGGATAAAATTCTGAATATGAGAACATTCATCTTTACAATAACTACTCTGTAAAAAAAACTTTAAAGAAAATCATTGCAAAATAATACTGAATATATCTGACACTTAGGTTCTTGATTTTTAACGTCAGAAAGAAAGTTAACAAATTACACAGGAAGATAAAAAAATAGTAAATCTGACTTCAGAAGAAAGTGAAGAGGCACTGAATTTTAAAAGTTTTGTAACAAGACGCACTAAACAAATATTTTGTGCATTTCATCCAAACTCACATATTTCCCTGCCATACACCTACAGAAAAATATAACCTTCAAACATTGATCACTAGTATGTACAATGCACACACATTTTGAATAGAGGCTTCTCAGAGAATAGGTTTCTCTCCTTCTTTAAATTCTCATGCAAGACCCATTCTTATTTCAGTACATGAAAAATGATTGTAATAATGGAGGCAAATTTATACATAAATGGCCCCTTCTTTCCTCAAAACCTCAATGAATAACAATTCATGTTAGTCTACACTTTTCGAAATTATAAGCGATTCCAGTAAAAATAATTCCATAAGATCATTCCTACGTTTCCCAGAGAGAGAGTCTGAGATGTTTTACCCCAGGGACTCTGGAGCAATTGGCTTAACTACCAAATCCTGGTAAGTGCACATAAAGGCACTTTTAGAGAGATCTTTAAAATATGGATGCTCCGCGGATACAAAATTAACAATCCTTAATATATTCTTAGATGCTATGAAATAGAGCCTGTGTTATTTTCATTCATTCTATTTTCTGGGAAAGATGAGAATGGGATTCCCCTCCCCCCAACCCTCCACTGTCATTAAAAACCAAGCAAAACTGCAAACCACTTCCGGCCACAAAAGCCATCACTGTATACAGAATCACTTGGACTCACTTTCGTGTCGATCTTCTTGAAGGCAGGATCATCCTCATCTACCTCAAAGTAGATTTCTGTCGTGGTGATGGAGAGTGTCCCCTTGGCCACCACCACGGGAGCGATGAGCTGGGCAGGAGTGCTGAGAACCACTGGGCCTGAAAGACAAGGGCACCAGAGTCAGGTTGAACCCCTCTGCCCCCTTGGGCTCTCTTCCAGAAGGGTACCAGCGCTCTCGATTTTTTTTTTTTAAAGACGCACAGAGACACGCAAAAGGTGCCTGTTAAAGTCCTTTTCAGGTTTGATGCCACCTTTTTACACTGAACGAGATTGGAGAGAAATAATTCTGTAAAAAATCTTAGCGGTCAGGTCAGCCCATAGGAGACCCTTCCTAAAACGGGCTTGCAACCTCAGCCTAGAAATCCTACAAGGTCGGTTGGGACGCGCCTTTCAACTTAAAACGGCAGAACGGACTCCGGAAAGCTCCGGATTCTCCACTCAGCACCACCAGCTTCTCAAAAGAACCTCGGTAGTCAGCACTGCCCCCCGCACCAGTGCTGGTGCGAAGCCACTCCACTCCGCAGCGGCTTTCCCCGAGGCGGGGCAGGAGGACTGCAGATCAGGGGTGCAGAGTGTGAATACCTAAATTCCGCCGCACCAGCGGGTCTCAACCTTGCAGCTGTAGAGAGATCCGCGGCCCAGGGCTCGCCGCGTTCTTCAAGACACGCGCGCGGACCTGCAATACCTCTCCGGTGCGAAAAGGTGCCCGTCGGGGCCCAGACACGCTCGCCGAGGGCCAAAGGGGAAGAAAAGAGTCAGAAAAGACGTGTCCTCGACGCCATTTCCCAACTTTGTAAACCGGAGGGCCCGGGTGTCAATAAGGGGAGTGGGGAAGGGCGGGGGAGAAAGGTGTTGAGGGAGTGCCGGATTAAGGTGCACGTTAGGAATCCTTGAAAATGAGCTTCACTTCTGGGGATACTGGGGCACTCAAAGGGATCATCTGCCCCTTTAAGATTCCTCGAAGGGGAGGTAGTCTTTGCCGTCTGGGACTTCAAATGCTGACGTGGCGATCGGAAAGAACCTAAAGTCTTTTTTTTCTTCCCCCCCGGGCGAGGGCTCCGGGGAATCCCTTCCATCCCCCCGCCCCCGCTCCCACCCCGCCAATGCGAGTCGCGGGGAGTCGGAACTCGAGCAGGCCAAAGGCCACCACGCAGGCAGGCCCCGAGAAGATGCAGGCCCGGGGCCCTCGGTGGCCGCGCCCGCCGGGGGTCGAGTCCGCCCGCGCGGCCACGGCCACGGCCCACGGCGAGCAGGCCCGGTGCGGCCCGGCGCTGAAGACGAGGCGCCCTCCGCGCCCCACGACCCGGCCCCGAAGGCCCGGCCGCTCTCCCTGCGGGGGGACAGGGCCGGAGGCGGCTTCCGCGGCCCCCAGTCGGGGTCGGAGAAGGCGACGGGCCGGGGTCCGCCTTCCCCGGTCGCCGTCGCCCGGGGTCGGACCCCAGGCCGCGTCCTCCCGGGCCCCGGGTTTCCCTGCGCCCCCGGCCCCGGCGCCCGCCGCGGCGGGAGGCTCCAGTCCCCGGGCCGGGCTGGCCGGCGGGGGCCTCCTCGGGCGGGCGTCTCCGCCGGCCCCGCGCGCTCGGGTCCGCTCGGCTCGGCCGGGCCGGCCGTGGCCCAGGCGCGGCCGCGGTCGATCCGGAGCGCCACGTTAGAGGCTCATCAATCTTAATCTCGGTTGCTCAAGCAATTACGCCCGAATCTCTCGCACGATTACAAGTGGATTTGGGTTTCTATTCCCCAGGCCCTCCTTTGTGTTTATTGGAGAGTCTGTGTGCGCGCTCGCCGGCGCCTCCAGCCCCCCGCGCTCCGCGGAATCCCCCGACGCCGGACCGGTCCGAACCGCTCCTTTAACCCCCGAGCCGCCGGCGCTCCTCCCCGCCTTCTGGGACAAGCCAGGCGGGTCGCCGCGGGGAGAAAGGGCGTGACCCCGTTCCTTCCCTCTGGAAACGAAGGGACTCCGGTCCGGGACGGACTTGGTGAAAGGTTACACGCGCGCGCGCAGACACACACACACACACACACACACACACACACAGCAGACTGTATCCTTCTCTTGAAAGAATCTACCATGTTCAAACAATTAGACTGGGAAAACAAACAAAAACCACGGCGCACATGATCAATATCACATACAGAACTAAGGATAAAAGAAAGATTTTTATGAAGCACACGATCAATATCGCACAGAACTGCCGATAAGTATCACTGATTCTGAATACACACTTCTAACAGACAACACATTTTCCCTCCTCGATTGTCTTCATTTGAGAGGAGAGCCTATACTTCCTTTTGATTTCATTCAATCCCCTTCTACCGAATCGCGATTTTTCCAGGGTTCATCAAAGGATGGTGTCCCCTTTAAAAAAAGAGGTCACCTTGTAAAATATTCAGCTTTATTAAGAGTGTCATTTTTACCCC